TAGGATAAATACTGACCGTTTTCCAAAACGAGCGTCGAAGGCGTAAGCTTCTAGAGGGGGTCCGAGGCATGCACCCCGTGATTTTTTTTTTTTTTTTTACTCCCCAAAGTCGCTTTTCCAGGGTTTCTGAGTCATTCAGTCAGGATATTGGCCGGATTTTAACTTGGAAAGTTTTTTTTTCATGAAAATTTATTTACCTATGAAAACTCTGACCGATTTTCGTAAAACGGTGGAAACCGGTGTGGATCCGCGCCTGCCTTAGCTTACGGTAACTGCTGTCGTATTAAAGTTTGAAAAAATAGCGATAAAGTTTCCAACAAAAATCGAATGTGTTAGCGAAAGCTGGAACACTGTGGAAAGCTGGAAGCAACAATTCCCTATAGCGCTGTTAGTACTGCAGCATAACGTTGTCCTAGCTTAAAGGATTATTTTTAAAATCCAAAAGTGTAACGAAAGCTTTCTGATAGTATTATTTCCTGCGGTGCTGCTTTCATCTGAACATTTTCACCTTAGCTCTTTTCTGATTGAATTGGACAAAAATGCGTTCCAGTCAGGACGCATGGGCCTCGCTGTGTTCGGTCAGTAAGTCCTGCCTTCGAGCCAAACATTTTCCCGTCCGGCCCTGCACTCAGTCAATAAGCATTTTATCATATACACCGTTATGTTTTTGGATTTTTCTGACGGAGCGAACCTGTTTCGATCAGTACGCTTTTCTAGCAGCGGGGCAGTACGCGTTTTTCCGGTGCTATCACTAGACGCGTAGGTCGTCCATACAAGATTTTTCTCATGATTTTCCAACCAAATTGCGAGCGGGGTCATCTGTTTTCTCATCACCAGTTTAACCCTTCAAGTCCCGATGGTGACCAACATCAATTTTCTCCTAACGATATCCATAGATTGTCAAGAGATAAGGTTATGAGAAATAATAAAATTATCACCTAAGAGAAAATGCCTTTAAGATTCTCTCAACTAATTCTTAAAGGAAATGTATGGAGATTGGTTTGGAGAATTTGTATGTGGATATTGGGGCTTAAAGCTAGGGTTATAGTGCAACTTAATTCTAGATTTTGACTTTGGACGCTTTTCAGTGTACCTCTGGAACAGCTCCATATGATAGAATTCTCTTTATAACATAGCTAGAATATTCGCCTAATCAAATTCGATAGCGCGTTTTCACTCACGTGACCAGCATCTATGCAAATTTATTGGAACAAAAGAAAGCTTTTGCATAAGAAAAGAGTTCAACTCCCACAGGACTGGTTTGGGACACCAACATGGCCGCCGTTTCATTGTTTTGGGACACCAATATGGCCGCCGTGACGTCATGTGAAAACGCTCTATAGCGCGAGCGTGCTACAAATAACAAATGGTAAATTACTCAGCGTGTACTAGTTAACAATTATTCCTCGAGCCCGAATGGGCTCTGAGTCAATAGCCCATTCGGCCTTCGGCCTCATGGGCTATTGACTAAGAGGCCATGAGGGCGAGAGGAATAATTTTTTTAGTAAAATCCAACTAGTTGGTCAAACTATCGAGAATAAAAAAATTTTGGCTAGTTAAAGCTAGACTAAAATCATCCTTTTTGGCAGCTAAAAAGTGCGCTCTTTTCGCTACTAGTAGGCTATAACATATAGCCTAGTATAGCTCAACCAATCAGAACGCAGCATTGATAATAGGCCACTAGTTGGATTTTACTAATGTTCAAATAGTTGCATGCGGGAGGTTGCTAAGCACGAAAGAAGCGTGAGAGTCGTCGTAGTCAATTAGTCGATGGGCAATTGACCAATCAGAGCGCGCGGTTTACGTTTGTTATGTGATTAAATCTCAACATACGCACGCTGAAGCATGAGCTAATTGTTAAATAAACCTTATTTAACTTCAGGATGTGTAAAAGTTTAACTTTTATTAACATTGATTTACTGCAACGCCTTCAAAATACTACTTAATATATTGCAACGATAAAAACCAAAATGTCAATCTGATTTAACGAGATTTTAACAGAGTAAACGGAGAACTTCATTTACTTTCAGATCAGGTTTTTGAGAAGTTCTTTACATCCCTTTCACATTTTTTTCATATTATTGTTGGATGTTTTGTTCCTGAAAAAGTTTGGTGAACCAGAGTTGCTTTTCTATACAATGCTACTGTTCAAAATTAATTCTGTACAGTTAAGAATCGACAAGGACCTTAAAAGCGGGAGAAACATCGCGCGGGGATTCTCGAGGAAGTTACTAAATTTTTTCGTGACATAACATAATAAGCATCAAAATTTTTCTATGGAAAGGAAAATAGACTTTTTCCTCATTCCGTAACCAGTATGCAGAACAAAAATCGATTGTTTTTCTGAGGGGAGGAGGTGGCTGTATAGGGGCTAGCATTCCGCTGCGGGAAACAGTCACAATAAAACTAGATCAAGCTTGGACGGATAATTTCATGCAAATCACTGCATTTTGTCAACCAAGTCAGCTCGAGGCAACAACTCATGCGCTTATCTCGGTGGATAATTCGAAACACCACTCAAGCGCAATTTGTGGACTATCTGAGGGTGGGAAGATCCATGTTTTTTCACGGAATATTGATAATTCGGATCCCAAGAGTCCATACGCCACTTCCACATTTCCCATAATGCACCTTATTTGCCCCCAAATTTTGCATAACCTCTGTTTTTCATTTCTCCTGGGTATTACAGCCGTCCCAAGAGAAATTGAAAACAATGCTTATGCATAATTTTGGGGGGCAAATAAGGTGCCTTATGTGGAAAATGTGGAAATGGCGAATGAAAGCGTTCAACACGCAGCGCTTAGTCATCGAGTTTCCTGAAAGCACGCCATGACGAGAGAAAGAGATGAGAGACCTATCTGGCCTTTCAGGATCTGGCGCTTTATGGTGTATCGGTACGCTGTTCTTTGATGCGGGAGAAGTTTTTGAGTTGACACTGCACATAGTAATTTTCCTTGCTTCGCATTATGTCGGAAAGCTACACCGACGAGAAGAAACAACGAGAAGAAAACCGTATAAAATGGCCATGAAGTGAGCATAGGTTACACAGAAAAGGCAACAACAAACCCAAGTTTACGTAAGTGAATTTTAACTCTATATTTATGCCTATATTTCTACGTTTTGACAACTATATTGAATTTCTAAAGTCCACAAATTGTTCGTAATATGCAAAACAGTATCAAAACGCACTAATTTATTCACCGAACTTGGGCCCGCCCTTGGGCCCTCTGGGTAATCGACCTTTGTCCGTTTAGGCAAACTGAATTTTTATAACAATTTCAGTCGACTCTCTCTTAACGGTCACTGTAAAAAGGACACCTAGAGTTGATCCCTGCCTTTCTTGACTCCCTTTATTTGACTCTCTATAAGATGGACACCTCTGTAAAACAGACACCTAGAGTTGATCCCTGCCATTCTTTACTCCCTTTGACCCTCTATAAGATGGACATCTCTCTGAGACGGACACTTAACTGATGCCGGTCCCAAAGGTGTCCGTCTTAGTTGACTATATCTTTTATTAGCATTTCCTTGCGTTGGATTTAAGTCACGCTTTAATTCGGAAGCGAAGTTTTACCATAAAAAACACGTAATAGCCGATGTGAAGCTCCCAGCAGGTCGCAATCGTTTGGATATTGAAGCTAAGGTCGCACAATGCATTGATAATCACACACACCTATCATTAAAAAGATATCAAAGGAAAACAGTACTCTGCCCATGTCTCATAAAGAGTGTTAAGCAGGAAATAAACACTATAGATAAACTCCTCAGAAAAGTGAGAAAAACAAACTGGGAAAATAATTGGTCTTCTTAGAAACGGCAACGAAACAAAGTTAATGGTATGATTGAAAAATGTAAAAACAATTCCATCGTGATCTTGCGACAGAAAATGCAACCTGAGAAAACAGTCGACATCTCGCGACGCCACCACTAGTGTCCCCTCGAAATGACGTCTGAGTTGTTGTTGTTGTTGACGAACGAGCGCAGAAATTCAATACTGATGACGAGTCACTAACCAGATCTGTGTAGTGTTACTGACTGGCTAAAAATTTGCCACAACCAATCAGAAGAACTACCCAGTTCTGGAAAGTGCGGCGTCATCAGTATGGAGTTTCGAATTCTGCGCTCGTTTCTCATGCATGCAGATGTCATTTTGCGGGGACATTAGTGGTGGCGTCGCGAAATGTCGGCTGTTTTCTCTCAGGCTAGATAAGTTTTGATTGACCATTAAAAAACTATTTCCCCCAAAGCTCACAAAGGACCTTGGGTCCACCCAAGGATTGGATAAATGAAAACATAGTACACAAAAACCAATCGGCGATTTTAATTAAAACAGATAAATCTTGAAACAGATAAATTTAATTGCCATCACCAGAAGGTGGTTTAACAAAAGCCCAAGAAATGTCGAGGATTCAAAGCCCGGTACGACTAAAAATACTGAGCCCCCTACATGCACGTTGTGGAAAGGTGCCTGCATACGCTCCGCTTTTCAATGGAGTTGGAAACGGAAATATACAGAGAAAAACTGATATCAAAGCGAATTAATCTATGGTCGACAGCCTTCTCGACTTTTAAATAACTACCGGCATTCATTGCGTTTACGGCGTTTTAATCAATGTTTGGAAAATTGCCAGAGGGGTAACCGCTGGTTGGTCGTAATTTTGCACACATTGAGCCATTTAAAAACCGGCCAAAACCAAAGAGTTAGCAATTCTTTATTCCATTGGTTATTCTTTTATTACATGCATAATTTCAATAGAATGCTTAGGAGCAAAATGATCTTTCACGTGTTGCCTTTGGAAAACGACGTCATCACTAAATAATAATAAGAAATAATAACTGGGATTACTCATCGACCGTCAAAGTGCTCGAAAATTAGTCGTCAACCGTCAAAAATTGAAGCTAATTTTTTGGCCGTCAACATTCACGACAGGTGCCCCATTATAATCATTTTCAGAAAAATCTCGCATTGGCAATACACTTCATAAAAGTACTACCAATTTCACTAGGCTTGCAATTGTTGTGAAAATCTGGCAATTTGCCAAAAATTTTCTCTTCCTTGGCAGCAGAAATACTGAGGCACATTATTACACCATTTTTCTTCGTTTGGGCCTTTTTAGCGCAACCATTTTGTTCATCTTTCTCTGTATCCACGTTACCGATGTTGTTTTCAGCGTAAAAGAAAATAGATTGCTCGTTGACTGGGTCACACACAGCCTTCCAATAGTACTTTGGGGCCAGAACTCGATTGTTTAGCCAGATTGTAGCTCCATTCAAAGCCTTTGCTTCCCCACCTTGAAAAGAAACCCAGACAAACTTAGCTTAGAAAAACGCGAAAAACGTTATTCATTACAAGAAAAATAAAGCTGTAACTTTAATAAACTACCAGACGAAAATTTTTTAGCTCTCAAAAACTTCTTTCCTGCTTCTTTCATTTTCTTTTAACGGAACATCCGAACACAATGAATAGCTTTGTTTCGTGTTTGTGCGCGGGAGTAACTTATAATAATAATAATTTAAAGGGGCCGTGTCACGGTAGTGCGGTTCATTTTGATTAATTTTGCCAATTACTCGCCGTCAATCACTATGGAACTTAAAGTAAGCAAAGAAATTACATGTAAATGACAAAATCAAAGATCCGAAACAAACAAATATGTCTCCTGAATTAATAATCAATTTGAAAAACTAATTTCAATAATTTCAATAAATCTGTTGTTTCTGTTGTGTTATTTTAACCTTCCTTTAATGTTTTAAGCGGTTATTTTTATGTTTCTCTTAATTTAACGGGCATTTTGTAATTACCTAATTTGTCTGAAATTCGTGACACAGCTCCTTTAATATAAACGGTTTTTTGATGACTTTTCTACATAGCAGCTCTACATTCGTCATGGAATAACTGATGAAATAGATTTATACCTGTGTACGATGAATAAAATTGAAAATACACATAGGTATATAAACATGTATTGCACTGAACAGGGGCACCCAACGAGAATATGGTTCAAAACCACTTAAACATAGCAATGTTGAACGTATTTTAGTATTTAAACGGTAGACATATGCATATTTTTATCCCCTAAAAATTTTCATCTGTTCGGATTTCCTAGCTGAAAGTCTAGTGATCCGAAAATTATAGGGATCAAAACTTACCTCTTCGAAATTTCAGCCAGAAAAAAGGCTCCCCAAAATTCTAGCTGACCTTTTTAGGGTAAAAATCCGTTAAAAATGGGCAATTATATCATTTTGGGGGGTCGAAAATCCTAGGAGAGGTGGGCAAGCAAGAAATTTAACAACAAATGTTCCGAAAATTCTAGATCTCAAATCGTCTTCCGAACAGATATTTTCCAAAAATTGTCGTTGGGTGCCCTTGACTGAAGACTCAAAAGCGGTTAGTCTAACCAGCATATATAAGTCAAAATTAGTCTAATCCGGATTCGACTTTAGTTTCCAAGAACTTAAAAACGTTTCTCACAGCTGTTTGAGCATTAGTTTCAAGTTGGCAGACTGCAATCATTTGGCAGACTGCAATCTCCAACGTGTTTGTTTTTAACAATCAGTTCGGAATGTTCTTCTTTATCTTCAGTTGTATAATCAAATATAAACAAGATCAAGCAAAAGCTGCTCTATGTTAACTATACAGTAAATTGCAACAGGAGACGGGAATTGTCGAAAAATGGCCGGAAACTCCTTGATATGCATGTACTGAACAGAATCATATTAGCCTTTTTGGAGCCGTTTTTGTTTCTTTCTGGAAAAAATTACTGTTATAGTGAATTTTTTTTATCCTCTCTTGAGCGCGGTTATAACGCTGGGATGGCTTTAATGCTGCATCTGTATGAAAAGCTTTCCGTTCATGCAAAGACAACAACAACAACAAATCCAAAACACAAAACAAAACACGCGCATTTTTATCGATACATACCGTGTGTAACTCAAAGAATTGCTAGCGCTTAGCCAGCGTAGCTGGCCGTGGGATTGGTATGTCCGCGGTACTTTTTTGGCAGCACTAGTCCGCTAATCCCGTCAGCTACGTCAGCTGACGTCAGCTATTAATTCGACTTGTCCCCAGTTTTCTTGCTACCCCACCCGCCAAAGGAGGGTCTGAATGGGGGTACCTCGATAATACTAAACACTTAATTTTTTCGCTCTGTAACATTAAACAGTTAAAGTTTAGGCATTTTAACACTAACAGTAAAAAATTCACTATAACAGTAATTTTTTCCAGAAAGAAACAAAAACGGCTCCAAAAAGGCCGATATTATTCTGTTCGGTACATGCATATCAAGGAGTTTTCGGCCATTTTTCGACAATTTCCGATTATTTCAGAAGTTTCCCGAAGACTACCGAAGTTTCTCAAAGACTGCCGAAGATTTCTGAAGACGTGACAACCGAAGATGTCCGAAGACTTCGAAGACGTCCTTAGAACCTTCCGACAGTATTTTCTCCGAAAACAGTAAACATTAAAAACTTGGCGAATTTAACAGCATAGTCTAAAAATTGTGG